ACAAAAGCCGCCCTTCTACATTTTTTTTTCAAGCCCCCCTCCCCCCACCCGGCTAAAAACTCAAGAGTCATGCATTATTTTTAAGCTTAATTACTACCAAAAGAAGAGTTCCAGTAACTTTTTTGTTTTTAGAATTCAAGGAAATAGCTGTGGATTGGTATGCCAAGCTATCTTTTAGCAACTTTGAGACAGAGAGAAAGAAATTGGTACAGACAAAAGGTAGGCTCTTAGGAATGGTGGGAGTTGAAGTCCAAACCACCTGGAGGGCCAAAGTTTGTCCATGCCTGCAGTAGAATCAAAGCTGTTTGATACCATTTTAACTGCCGTGTTTCAATGCTCTGGAATCCTGGGAGCTGAAGATACAAAAGGTCTTGAGTCTTCTTTTCCAAAGACTACTATTGCCTCACCAACCTACTGTATCCTTAACACAATTTCACCCCACTTTAACTGCCAAAGTCCAATGCAAGTTCTTAGCCTTCTCTAGAAAACTTTTCTTTTACAAGTTCTTAGCCTTCTCTAGAAAAGAATGCTGGTGTTAGGAAGCAGCATGGCTTTGAAGATGAAGGACCATTCTGTGTTAATCAAGGTGGCCAATTGTAACATTCATGCTTGCCTCAAACAGACAAGAGTTATTTCTCCCATCCTGGACATTCTGCAGATATATAAATTCCACTTGCCTAGTTTCCAACAGACCTCACAACCTCTGAGGATGCCTGCAACATATGTGGGTGAAACATCAGGAGATAATGCTTCTGGAACCTGGCCAGACAGCCTGGAAAACTCACAGCAACCCAGTGATTCTGGCCATTAAAGCCTTTGACAACATGTTGTCAACAAAGTTTGAAACAAAAGAATACCAGCATTATTATAGGTTCCCTCTGATGGCAATTAAACAGGAATTGTGTTATATATATTTTTTTTAAAAACTTTTGCAGTGTGTCGATGTAGTCCTAAACACACTTAGTAAGAAGTAAACCACAAACACACTTACTAAAGGGTAACCCGAACTGAGCTCAAGAATTCTTATTTTAAGCATGCAAAATTTTGGAGCAGATGGATACCAGAAGTTTGGAAGCGAAGCCACAGTTTTACCAGAGCGCAGGACCTTCACAGCACAAACTTCCAACACCAGAAGGAGTTGATGTTTGCACCCAGGCGTCTGTCACTTTTTAGCAGAAATTAATTTATTAATAGCTGTGGGTTTTGTTTTATTTACTCAGCTGTGCAGTGGCCTCTGCTGGTACATATCTGCATAAATTAGGGATTAACTTTATTACCTCTCTAAAGACAATCTAAGCTGCTCAGAAGCCTGACAAGCACTCGGCATACGAGAGGACCATGAACGGATCCAAACTACAGCTTAGCGGAAAGTGACAGGAAGGGAATTTGTTAATCTCATTACACAATGGACTTTGGTAAACTTTTGATGCCATTCCAAATAATTTTGCTTTTCCAAAATAAAAAATGGCAAGAAGCCGGTCTATTGTTTTAGCAGTAAAAAAAGAATACCTGTTTAAAAGGTGAGCAAAAGTTATATTTCAAAAAGATGAAAACCAAAAATATATAACATATTGCATTTTACTTCTAGTAGACACAGTTTGCCAAAGTGGTATAGCTTCAGTTGAATCAACTCCCTCCTTCAATGTGTATCAGAAACTCAGCTCATTCATATGTATGCACTATTACTTAGAAGTGAAAGATCCTTAAACCCCTAAGACATTTTCCTTGGAGCTACTTCGACTGCAATGGAGCATGTTTACAAGAACCTATTTAGAAATGCAACTTTAGAGAGGAAAAAAGTGGAAAGAGAAGGATACAGCTATAATGACGCCTGGGATGCATCTATACTAGGCATGGGCAAACTTCCATCCACCAGATGTTTTCGACTTCAACTCTCACAATTCCTAACAGCCTACTTAACAGCCAATGCTCTTCAGCAGAGGAGGCGCAAGACCCATAGCATTGAACCATGACATGAAACTGCATTAATTCTACCACGTTGCCCACGTAACAACACCATGTTGTTCTGAACTGTTAGTAGGCAAAGAGATCTGTGACAGCACCTTAGAGAATGAAGTTGATAACCATTCACACATCAGAGCTATGGCAGTCTGACACCTATTTACCTATTACGGCTCAATGCAATGTTATCCCGGGAGGTTGTGGTTTGGTCAGGCACCAGGACCATTTTGGCAAAGAAGGCGAAGGACCTTTTAAAACTATAACTCCTAGGATTCTATAGTATTCAGCCAAGGCATTTAAAGTGGTGTAAAAATGCATTCAGGTTCTTGTAAATATGCTTCATTCTGTCAACAGGAGTACTTCCAAGTAAAAGTTCCTGCCAATGTTTAAGAATCTTTCACTTTTAAGCACAAGGATTTTTTTTTCATGTCAGGAGCAACTTGAGAAACTGCAAGTCACTTCTGATGTGAAAGAACTGGCTGTCTGAAAAGACGTTGCCCAGGGACACCCAGATGTTTTCCCACCCTTGTGGGAGGCTTCTCTCAGGAGCTGGAGCTGCCAGAGGGAGCTCATCCATGCTCTCCTCGGATTCGAACCTCCAACCTGTCGGTCTTCAGTCCTGCCAGCCCAAATGTTTAACCCACTGCACCACCAGGGGCTTCTATAGCACAAGGAATGAATACAGTAAAAACAGTCCCCGGTGGCACAGTGGGTGAAACCGCTGAGCTGCTGAACTTGCATACTGAAAGGTCGCAGGTTCGAATCCGGGAAGCGGGGTGAGCTCCTGCTGTTAGCCCCAGCTTCTGCCAACCTAGCAGTTCAAAGACATGCAAATGTGAGTAGATCAATAGGTACCGCTCTGGCGAGAAGGTAACAGCGCTCCATGAGTCTTGCCGGCAACATAACCTTGGAGGAGTCTACAGACAACGCTGACTCTTCAGCTTAGAAACAAAGATGAACACCAACCCCGAGTCGGACATGACTGGACTTAACGTCACGGGAAAACCTTTAGGAATTGTGGGAGCTGAAGTCCAAAACACCTGGAGGAAGCCTGAAGTTGGCCCATGTCTGGTCTTACCCTTGTACAAAGGCACTCTCTTCCTTAGGACCTCATCTGGATAGCCATAAGTTTGCTATACTTGCTACAGAGTGATGGGGCATTCAAAGACATAGCTCCATCATTCTGGAATATCAATGTGCAAAGGATCTTGTAGCAATGTATTGTCAAAGACTTTCATAGCTGGAATCACTGGGTTGTTGTAGGTTTTTTGGGTTATATGGCCATGTTCTAGAGCAGTGGTTCTCAACCTTCCTAATGCCACAACCCCTTAATACAGTTCCTCATGTTGTGGTGACCCCCAACCATAAAATTACTTTATTGCTACTTTCATAACTGTAATTTTGCTACTGTTAAGAGTCGTCATGCAAATATCTGACATGCAGGAATGGATGTATTCTCGTTCACTGGACCAAATTTGGCACAAATGCCTGATATGCCCAAATTGGAATACTGGTGGGGTTGAGGGGGATTAATTTTGTCATTTGGGAAATGTAGTTGCTGGGATTTATAGTTCACCTACAATCAAAGAGCATTCTGAACTCTACCAACAATGAAATTGAACCAAACTTGGCACACAGAACTCCGATAACCAACAAAAAATACTGGAAAGGTTTGGTAAGCATTGGCCTTGAGTTTTGGAGTTGTAGTTCACCTACATCCAAAGAGAACTGTGGACTCGAACAATGATGGATCTGGACCAAACTTGGCACAAATACTCAATATGCCAAAAATGTGAACACTGGTGGAGTTTGGTGAAAACAGACCTTGACATTTGGGAGTTGGAGTTGCTGCAATTTATAGTTCACCTACAATCAAAGAGCATTCTGAACCCAACAACAATAGAATTGAGCCAAACTTCCCACACAGAGCCCCCATGACCAACAGAAAATCCTGCATTTTCTAATGGTCTTTGGCGACCCCTCTGACACCCCTTTGTGACTCCAGGTTGAGAAATGCTGTTCTAGAGGCATTCTCTCCTGATGTTTCGCCTGCATCTATGGCAAGCATCCTCAGAGGTTGTGAGGTTAGGATTAGAGTTGAGATTCTTGTTATAGATGCTGGTGAAACATCAGGAGAGAATGCCTCTAGAACAAGGGTCCTCAAACTAAGGCCCGGGGGCCAGATATGGCCCTCCAAGGTCATTTACCTGGGCCTCGATCAGGGTCAACCTAAGTCTGAAATGACTTGAAAGTATACAACAACAACAATCCTATCTCATCAGCCAAAAGCAGGCCCATACTTTCCACTGAAATACTAATATGTTTATATTTGTTAAAATTATTCTTCATTTTAATTATGGTATTGCATTTAAGTGTTTTTTGCACTACAAATAAGATATCCGCAGTGTTCATAGAAATTCATTCATTGGGTTGCTGTAGGTTTTTTCGGGCTATATGGCCATGTCCTAGAGGCATTTCTCCTGACGTTTCACCTGCATCTATGGCAAGCAACCTTGTGAGGTTGTGAGGTCACTACCTCTGAAGATACTTGCCATAGATGCAGGCGAAACGTCAGGAGAAATGCCTCTAGAACATGGCCACATAGCCCGAAAAAAACTACAACAACCCAGTGATTCCGGCCATGAAAGCCTTCGACAAAATTCATTCATGTTTTTTTCAAATTATAATCCAGCCCTCCAACAGTTTGAGGGACTGTGTCCTGGCCCTCTGTTTAAAAAGTTTGTGGACCCCTGCTCTAGAACATGGCCATATAAAAACTACAACAACCCAGATCTTGTAGCACTTTAGAGTAGACATGGGCAAACTCTGGACCTTCAGGTGTTTTGAACTTCAACTCCCACCATTCCTAACAGCTTAAGCGGCTGAGGAGAAGAAAGGAGCCTGAGGCTGTTAGGAATGGTGGGAGTGGGAGTCCAAAAACCCCTGGAGGGCCCAGGTTTGCCCCTGCCTGGTGTAGATGCACCCTTAGCCTGAGAAGCAGCAGGCAGCCTCGTCCCAGGGAGGGCTCTTCTTCTTACCTTGGACCTCTCTTTGACATAGTATTTGCCCAGCCGACTTCCACAGTACATGACCAGCCTGTCGATGAGCGAGAGGAGGAAGTGGATGGCCTCGCAGCCCTCCTCGGTGCCGGCGATCCACTTGATCTGGTCTCCCCGCAAGTGCCTCTTGGCGATGCCCTGCCGCTGCCCGGCCAGCTGCCCGTCCTGGAGCTCCCCGCGGTAGTGCATCTGCTTCACGCGCGACAGGACGCAGTCCCCGACCAGCTCGCCCAGGAAATTGTCCAGGTAGCAGAAGCCCATGTCGTGCAAGCAGGGGACGATGTAGTCCAAGGCGATTTTCTCCAGGTCTAACCGCTTGAGATTCCCCAACGGCATGGCGGGGGGGGGGGGGGGGGGGGCTCCCCAAACAAGCCGAAAGTGCCCTGTGTTATTTAGCAAGGATTCAAGTCAGGCAAAGCAAAGACTCGTGTCAAGGAAGCCCCAAGGCCCATTCAACCCAACCGCGGCATGTTTAAAAAGCCATGGATTCCCAAGAGGAGCTGTTTCAAACTTATCCGCAAAGTTTGGCCAAAGTTTTGGAAGTCTTCCGTGCGGTCCGCCTCAAGGAAATTGCTGCCTCTCCTCCTCCGGACTGACCCTTCTCTGACTACCAGGACTAGCGCCTTGGCAAGCAGATGATTACTGGAAGAAGAAGCTCAGGAAGCCCTTTTTTCTTATCTGCTTCGAGCCCGGAAGATCTCAGCGCGTGTGGACACTCCCCTCCCCGCCTCCCTCTCTCTCTCTCTCTCTCTTTATTTATTTATTTTGGGGAGGGAGGAAAAGTCCGGCCAACTCCTCTCCGTTTTATTTACCAAGGGAGCAGATGGCCCCTCTCTGATTAATACGTCTGCTACGTGCAGAATGTGTTCCCACTTCCCAACCACGAGCCGCACGTGGGTGGAGTCCCGGCCAGCGCGGGGACAATCGCTACGCTCCGCCTCCCCAGCCCCGCCAATCAAAAGGCAGACGGGGCGTGGCTTCTGACCGCCGGCTGCTTAAAAAGCCCCGCCCCCGCCAGGGTTCACGGCTGGAATCATTGTGTGGCGGGAGGCGAGGAGAGAAAACGGCGTGTCTGGGGAGGCGGGGCTTAAAGGAAGGGGCGTGGCCACCGCCATTGAGGAATTCTCTCTCGGCATGTACGCGGCTACTACGGCCACGCAGAGTGCGAGGCAATGTAAATACATGGGTGGCGAGACGGTGATCACTGCGCATGCGCGGTATCTTTGGCCCACACAATAGCTCTGGAATGAAATGCTTGCAGCAGAAGTTGTTTGGGATTTTTTATTAGTATTTTGGAACACCTGTGTTTGCATATGCGTGCATAATGAGATATTTTGGGGATGGGGAAACCATGTCTAAATGTGGCATTTATTTATGCTTCATATACACCTTCTACACATAGCCAGAAGGTCATTTTATACACAATGTTTTTAATGTGTTGTCAAAGGCTTTCATGACCAGAATCACTGGGTTATTGTGCATTTTCCGGGCTGTATGGCCATGTTCCAGAAGCATTCTCTCCTGATGCTTCGCCTGCATCTATGGCAGGCATCCTCCGAGGTTGTGAGGTCTGGATTGTGCGTTTTCTGGGCTGTATGGCCATGTTCCAGAAGCATTCTTTCCTGATGCTTCACTTGCATCTATGGCAGGCATCCTCAGAGGTTGTGAGGTCTGAGTTGTGCGTTTTCCGGGCTGTATGGCCATGTTCCAGAAGCATTCTCTCCTGACACTTCGCTTGCATCTATGGCAGGTATCCTCAGAGGTTTGAGGTCTGGGTTGTGCGTTTTCCGGGCTGTATGGCCATGTTCCAAAACCATTCTCTCCTGACGCTTCGCTTGCATCTATGGCAGGCATCCTCATAGGTTGTGAGGTCTCACAACCTTTGAGGTTGCCTGCCATAGATGCAAGCAAAACGTCAGGAGAGAATGCTTCTGGAACATGGCCATATAGCTCAGAAAACAAACAAAAACCCAATGATTTTAATGTGTTATCAAAGGCTTTCTTGGCCAGAATCACTGGGTTGTTGTGTGTTATCCGGGCTTCACTTGCATCTATGGCAGGCATCCTCAGAGGTTGTGAGACCTCACTATCTGAGGATGCCTGTCATAGATGCAAGCAAAACATCAGAAGAGAATGCTTCTGGAACATGGCTGTACAGCCCAGAAAACACAAAACAACCCAATGATTTTAATGTGTTGTCGAAGGCTTTCATGGCCAGAATCACTAGGTTGCTGTGAGTTTTCCAGGCTGTGTGGCCATGTATCAGAAGAAACCCAATGTTTTTTAATCATAATGTTTGCAACTTGGAACCATCAGAAAGCAGGCATTATCTTATGGTGCATCTACACTGTAGAATGAATGCAGTTTTACACCACTTTAAATGTCTAAGCTGAATGCTATAGAATCCTAGGAGTTATAGTTTTATAAGGTTCATTGCTAAAAAGTCCTGATGCTTGACCAAACCACAACCTTACATTGCATTGAGTCATAACAGGTAAAGTGGTGTCAGACTGCCATAGCTCTGATGTGGGAATGGTTATAAACTTCGTTCTTGAAGGTGCTGCCACAGTTCCCTTTGCCTACTAACATCTCAGAACAACATGGTGTTGTTACATGGGCAACATGGTAGAATTAATGCAGTTTGATGCCATGGCTCAGTGCTGCAGGACTTGTAGTTTAACATTGGTGCCCCACCAAACTACAAAACTCAGCATTCCACAGCACTGAGCCATGGCAGTTAAAGTGATATCAAACTGTATCAGTTATACAGTGTAGAGCAGGCAGAGCAAACTCTGGCCCTCCAGGGGTTTTGGACTTCAACTCCCACCATTCCTGACAGCCTCAGGCCCCTTCCTTTCCCCCCTTTTCCTCTTAAGCGGCTGAGGGGAGAAAGGAAAGGGCATGAGGCTGTTAGGAATGGCGGGAGTTGAAGTCCAAAACCCCTGGAGAGCCAGAGTTTACCCACGCCTGGTGTAGAGCCAGCCTATATCTTTGCATACAAACATTAGCATGAGTCATGGAAATGGGGTGTTTTGAGTGTGTCATGTTCTTGCGAGTAACACTACAATTCCGAAAATCTGGTGATGCAGTCTCCACTGTGATTGAAGGAGAAGCAAAAGAGAAATGGAAAGCCAAGAGTTGTCCTGAGGTTCTCTCTTCTTGGAAAGTCCAGTTTTGCACGAACACAGCCGCATGACCCGCAGCGTCTTCTGAAAGCCTCATTTTACAAGGCGAAGGAAGGCTTGGGAAAGGGTGGGGTGGGGAAGAAAGCAAGATGCCAAGCCACACAAGCGCACACACAAACTGCCCAAGGAAAGGCTGAGGACAGAGGCCAGACACTTTGGAAAAGTCAAAGGGTGCATCTACACTGTAGAAGCAAAGCAGTTTGACACCACTTTAACTGCCATGTCTCAATGCTCTGGAATCCTGGGAGTTTAAGATTCATAAGGTCTTGAGCCATCTTTTCCAAAGACTAGTGCCTCACCAACCTAATGGGTGCATATACACTGTAGCCTTAATGCAGTTTCATAGACTCCTAGAGTTGGAAAAGACCTTGTAGGCCATCCAGTCCAACCCCCTGCCAGGAAGCAGGAAAATCACCTTCAAAGCACCCATGACAGATGGCCATCCAGCCTCTGTTTAAAAGCCTCCAAAGATGGAGCCTCCACTGCACTCGGGGGCAGAGAGTTCCACCGCTGAACAGCTCTCATAGTCAGGATGTTCTTCCTCATGTTCAGGTGGAATCTCCTTTCCTGTAGTTTGAAGCTATTGTTCCTTGTCCTAGTCTCCAGGGCAGCAGAAAACAAGCTTGTTCCCTCCTCCTGATGACTTTCCCTCAAAGTTTGACCCCATTTTAACTGCCAAAGCTCAATGCAATCAATCACTGTAGTTGTAGTTTTACAAGTTCCTTAGCTTTCTCTAGAAACGAATGCTGGTGCCTTTCTATATTACAAATCCAAGCATTCCATATCACTGAGCCATGGCAGTTAAAAGCGGGGTCAAAATGAATTAATTTGACAGCATACATGAGCCATGTGATGAAAATACAGTCTCATCCATGCACAGAGGCACTCTCTTAGGACCTCAATTGGATGGCCATAAAGATACTTGCTACGTCCTTGCCATACTTGCTGAATGCCTTGGTCCCCCACCAAACTACAATACTTTAGCCTTCTTTGTAAGTGCTGGTGCTCCACTAAACTACACTTCTCAAGGATTCCAAAACATTGAGCCCTGGCAGCTCAAAGTGGGGCGGTAATACATTAACTTTACAGTGTTAGATGCACCCAAGGTTTTTAGCTTTTCTTACTAAAATGCTGCCTCACCAAACTTTTTTTTTCATGTCAGGAGTGACTTGAGAAACTAAAATTCCTAGTATTGAGCCATGGCTGTTAAAAGTCAGTCAGACTACATTCATTTGACAGTGCAGATGCACCCTGAGTTGCGATGAAAATACAGTTACCAATGCAGAGAGGGTAAGGCTCTTCCTTAGGACCTCATTTGGATGGCCACAACGATTGCAATACTTGTAACAGAGTGCTGGCACCTCACCAAAACACAGGTCCTAGCACTGAGCCATGGCAATTGAAAACGAGACTAAACTGAATTAATTCTACAGTGTGGAAGCACCCAACACCTCTGATAATTCCTTAGCATTGAGCCATGGCACTTAAAAGTGGCACTAACTCAGAAATGGACAAACTTTGGCCCTCTGGGTGTTTTGGACTTCAACTCCCACCATTCCTAACAGCCTCAGGCCCTTTCCTTTCCCCCCTCAGCCACTTAAGCAGGAAAAGGGGGGAAAGGAAGGGGCCTGTGGCTATTAGGAATGATGGGAGTTGAAGTCCAAAACATCTGGAGGGCCCAAGTTTGCCAGTGTCAGGGCTAACTGCATTAAATCTAAACCGTTGATGCACCAAAGATCTTTAGCCTTCTGATGCCTCCAGGAATCCCTAGTATTTATTTATGGTATCAGGACCAAACCAAGGGTACATTTGTACTGTATTAAAACACACACACACACACACACACACACACAAAGTTTGAAAACTTGGCATTATATTATTTATTTATTTATTTACGACATTTATATGCTGCCCTTCTCACCCCGAAGGGGACTCAGAGTGGCTTACAAGATATATATACATACAATATATATTATATTGTAATATTATTAGTAATATTACATGTAATATAAAATATATTATATTTTGCTCCCGGTGGCACAGTGGATTAAACCACTGAGCTGCTAAGCTTGTTGACTGAAAGGTCACAGGTTTGAATCCAGGGAGCGGCATGAGCTTCTGCTGTCAGCCCCAACTTCTGCCAACCTAGCAGTTCGAAAACATGCAAATGTGAGTAGATCAATAGGTACCGCTCCGGTTGGAAGGTAACAGCGCTCCATGCAGTCATGCTGACCACAGGATCTTGGAGGTGTCTACGGACAACGCTGGCTCTTTGGCTTAGATGAGCACCAACCCCCAGAGTTGGACACGACTGCACATAATGTCAGGGAAAAACCTTTACCTTTACTATAAAATATATGATTATATTATATGATTATTATATTGTATTATTAGTAATAGTATTATATTGTATTACATTATAATATTATAAATATTATATGAATATAAAATATTAAATATTCTTTGGCCGTTAGCTGGCCACTTGGAGTGCCTCTGGTGTCACTGTGAGAAGGTCGTCCATTGTACATGTGGCAGGGCTCAGACCACACATGATTGCGCTACTTGTTACAGAGTGCTGGTGCCTCACCAAACCACAGGTCCTGTGGTTCCCTCGCACTGAACTATAGCAATTGAAAGTGGGGCCCAACAGCATTGGTTCTACAGTATGGATGCATCCTACACTTCCCAGGATTCCCCAGCCTTGAGCCCCAGCAG